ATAATTAGGAGTAGCAGTTTTACCTCTTATTTCTTCCTGCTGAGAAAACAACTTGTATAAAAAAGCGACATAGTTCACCCCATCTTTCCCCTACAGTGTAATGCGTCATAAACTGTGACTTGGTTCAAGACACCTCTTAGTGGCAGTGAAATGGTAAAAAAAATATTGGTCAGCTAAGTAATGTGCTGAAGAGGAAATGGCGCTCAAAACTCAAAGCAGTGAAAAATGAGATGCCTACAGCATCACTGCATGAGTTTGCAGCAGCATGTTTCATACCTGTCAGAGTAAAACAGAACGTCTATGAGGGTTGTGGCAATCGCTGGCAGTGTGTCCGGATCCAAGCTCATTACGCAAAATTGATTTTCTGGAATCAGCACTGGATGAACTCTTGCATGTGGAACTGAACACACACACACACGCATAGTATAATGGACTATTCTTAAATAATCAATTTCACTATTTCTCATAATATGACCTTTTTCAAGAAGCCATTGCATTAGTTCAAATGTTGGGAGTCAGTTGTTTTTTTTAAAGAAACTAACACTTATTCAGCAAGGATGCATTAAATATATCAAAAGTGACCATAAAGACATTTATACTGTTACAAAAAAATTCTGTTTAAATAAATGCTGTTCATCAAGGCACTTTCTATTCATTAAAGAATCTTGGAAAAAAATATCACAGCTTTCAAAATTGATGATGAATGATGATGATAATAAATGTTTCTAGAGCAGCAAATCATCATATTAGAAATATTTCTGAAGGATCATGTCATGTTATGATGCTGAAAATTCAGCTTTGAGTCACAAAAATATATTACATTTTAAAATACATACAAATAGTTAACAGTTATTTTACGTTGCAATAATATAACACAATACTACTGTTTCTACTCTATTTTTTTAATCAAATATATGCAGTCTTGGAGAGCATAAGAGACTTCACACCGACCCCAAACTTTTGAATGGTAGTGTATGCCTTTCTTTCACTGCTTTCTCACCCTCTCTGCCATTTCGCTGCAGGCCGTTGCAGGCGTCCTGACTGTGGACAGGCACTGACTCTCCTCCCTCCTCTCTGAAAATATTAAACTCATCCACTAGAGTCTCCACCACCACCGACAGGTCTTTCTCTCGCACCTAGAACACAAATATCCCTTTTAGTGTGTTAATAACATACATTTTCATATAAATCACCTAACAGCACTCCCTGAGGTGGTCATGTTTGTTTTGTACTTTAATTTTGTATTGCTATTGCATTTTTAGCATATGTTAGCAGCACTTATTCCCAATCAACAACATGCAAAACTTCAATCAAATAGTTATGGCTGTTTTGTTGTTGTTGTAGCACCCCCTGTGGGTGACTATTTGGTGTGCACCGTTAGCATGTGGTTTCTTCGGACAAAGTTTTGTAAAGTTTGGACTTTACATTCAAGAAATATTAGTCAATATTGGGCCACAGTTTCATTGCACACTTTGTTTTTTAATCAATGAAAAAAAAACCTTATCAAATCAGTATTTTTTACAAATAAAAAAGCAGCCTACAAAGACTTTGAGAAAAGTCAGTTTTCCAAAAAGAAAACAAACAAATAAACAAAAAAAGTTTTTAGACAAGGATAAAAAAATAGATTCTGGCCCACACAGCTCTAGAGTTATTAGCAAAACTGTAAATTAGCTTATTACAAAAGCGCAACTGCCCTTGAAAGTATAATGCACAGAGACCAATCAACATTACACAATGTTCATCACACATCTACCAACTGATTAAAACATAAGGGTCATGAAATTGTAAAACATTTACAACAGGCAGGTGTGTTTGATGTTAGCGCATGTTTATGCTGCCTTTTCCTTAATACATCATTTATTAACAATGTTCTGTCTCTGGATTCAGCCAAATGTCCGTCAGATCTACATCTTAGCTTTGTGCTGTGTTTAACTAACCAAAGAAAGCAACAAAAACAATTTTTTATTAAAAAAAAACAAAAAAAAAAAATGTATTTGAGATTTTAGCTGAAATTTTAGCTGAACATAAAATATTTTGGTTATTCATTGCAGTGTTATTTTAGTATCATTGATATACTATTAAACTTTAAAATTAGATTTTTTTTAATGTTTACCATTTTAATTTTAAGCTTTAGTCATTTTGTTTTGCGTTTTTTACATTTTTATTTGTTTTTTATATTATATTTCAGTTAACATTTATTGTATTTCAAGTATTGAATTTTTTATATTTTTAATTTTAGTTATCTATAACCCTAAACCCTGAATACTTCCATCATTTGGTGCAGTTTACACTCATCCAAGTATTTCTAGAAACATTGCTGGCTTAAATTCGTTATGCGTGTCTCAATGATCACAGAGACACACCAGACTCGCTTACCAGAATAAAGTCCGTCTGATAGGTGGAGAGCATGAAGACGGACACATGCTGCTCGGCCAATGGAGCGATAACGGATTTGGCGATCTTGGTGACGCCCACGGCCTGTGAGCTGCTGGAGGCGTTGCCATTGGAGACGACATTGAGCGGGAGCCAAGTGGAGCCCTCCACCTGTAAGTGCGCAGACGGCTGGAGCTCTGGAGGATGAGGATGTGATGAAGAGGACATACAGAAGTCAGTGTCAATATACAAATATACCAGTTTTCACATTTTACAAAATATGAATAGAAAAAAATTTAAAAATAGAAAAAAAAATGTGCTGTTACTTTTCTAAGTGATCAAACTTTATAATGCCTTGCATTGAAAGAGGAGCTACCATTCAGTTTGGGGGAAAAACAAAACAAAAAACACATTTATTCAGTAAGGATGCATTAAACTGATCAAAACTGACAGTAGAGACATTTATAATGTTACAAAAAAAATCTATTTCTAATAAATGCTGTTCTTTTGAACATAGTATTGCAGTTTCCACAAAAATATTAAGCATCCAGACCGTCTTCAACATTGATAATAATAAGAAATGTTTCTTAAGCACCAAATCA